ATCTGCTTCTACTCGGAGGAAAGAAAAACCAAAATCTCAAACCATATTTCTCTTTTACAATTACAATATTTACAAAGTAAAACCTAAATTCACCGCATTCTAAAGAAGCCTAAAAACATTTATAGAAAAAAAAAAGGGGGGGAGGCGGGAATTTGTTTCTATCCTAGGAGATGCACCTCATAGAGTAGACAGAAACGGGTGAATCAACCGCAGGTGCATTGCAGACCCTTGGATGATCGCTCTCCAACCCATAATCCATCATCCGACGGTACTCCAAATCTTCATCATGATCATACACGAATTTCGGAATCTCAATCTCATTCCTCCTCACGTGCTCCCATAGGTAATCCAGCCGGTTCACATACCTCAGCTTCTTATACAACTTGCTACACCCAAGAAAATCCACTGGATTTGAAAAACCAAAAATTTTTTTTGCTAAGAGTAAAATTATTGCGCCAATGAATAAGAGATCGGAGTTTGGTTTCAGGTGTTTTATACCTTCCGTTGAGTGATTTTTCAAGTTCCTTTCCTTCTCTTTGCTAGGACTTCTAAAAAATGGTAACTTTGAGCGAGCACCCAAAAATTCAGATCTCAAGAAAACAATTATCCAAGAAAAGTACTTACTCTCGGAGTGGGAAATCCAAGGCTTAGTGGAGGACGTCTCAGGTGGGCCGCATCCCAATGGATTTTACTTCGCAATCCCCCGCGGGGCTTATGCGGTGAAGCTGGGCAACGATATGTCCATTTCTCAAAACGTGAGCGTCAAGCGGAGCTCAGTTTATTCTCTAACATCCGGCACCACCTGAACATATGCTCAGGATGAGGTGTTGAGGGTGTCTGGGAAAGAAGAATTTGGGTTGGGTTGGGCATATAAATATATATAAAATGCTTACCCTATTTAATGCATAGGGTAGCATTATATATATATATATATATATATATAAATAGATAGATAGATATTGTAATTAATGATGTTTAAGGCACATGTTAAAAAATCCCTTAATAATTTAGGATTCAAAACTTTTAGAATTTAAGATACTTAAAATTTTATGTTACATTTAAATCAAGACAATTATTGGTATATTTTTTTATTTAACATGTTTTACAACATAATAATTAAAAAATATTATTTAACTACAATATTAATAATATAAAATTTAATATCATTAAATATATGTTAAAAAATATAGTTGTATGATTAAATAATTATAAATATTAAATAAATTTAAAAATTGACATGCATTATTTATATACATAAATTACCTGGTTCAACAATCATTTTTTAGAAATATTTATTAGAGAATGTGTTTTTGGATTAAGGCTTCAAAAAAGTTGTAACTAATAAAAAGTATTCTCATAAATGATAAAGGGTTTGGAGTCTAACACAATCTTTTTGGGTAAAGAACCTGGACCACTCGAGACTTGGGCTACATTGTCAACATTTGGGGGTGTTAGGTCTCGGAGAAATTTTTTCTTCAAAACTTTTCCTCTTATAAAGTATTTATTTATTTTCTTTCATTAATATTACAATAAAAGAAGGATAAAAGTGAATTATTTAGTCTTTATTATCAAACAACTTTTAACCTTTAACTTTTCCTATATAAGACTCATTTGACAATATTTTTACTAACTTTTCTTATACTAATTTTTACGAAATATAGAAAAATTAACAACCTAAAAAATTTCAATAAAACTTTACTACAAAACTTATAAACTTTTCATACAATATTTTCCTAATAAAACCTTCCTAGTAAAATTGGCCTCTAACCAAATGACCCCTTAATATAAACAAACACACAACCTTGACATAAATATACCTATCAATAGAATTAAAATCCTATTTAAATCTAAGAGCATGTTTGGTTCTTCGTCCCTCACAAATTTTTAAATTTGTTAAAGAGAAAATTTAAATATGGTCTTGAAATAAATTGCTTTAAAACGCTGCTAAAGAGATAAAAACCCCTATTTAATTAAAACTCATCATAATTCCAAAAGCAAAAACAAAAAGACTCAACTACCTCCTTGTTCCTGGGCCTGATGTTTTTAAGTCTCTGTTCGTCCCTTATCCTCGCCATCCTTCTCCTCACAATGCAACCCAGTTGCTGTTGGTATTGATGAAAGAAAGGGCCCAGCACACAACTAACTTGAACATTCCATACCTGGTCTCGCTCTCAATAGTCAGGTCCATCTCCATCAAAAAATGTAAACAGGCCCATTGCCAGTAGCCGTTATGAAAGCCCGTAAGTCCAGTTAATAATCTTCTGATTGTTTTGTTTGAATTGGTTTCCTTTCCAGATCATCCCCCAATTGGAGAGATTGTCCTTATCAGAAGATGAAATCGCTATGATACTTGATCGCCGATTTAAACAAGACTTCTTTTTCGAAATAAACGTCCTTCAGATTTTCGGTGGTGGTGAATTATCTATTTTTCCAATCGGCTTTCTCCAGAGATTCTACAACTTGGAAAAACTTATTTTAACATATTGTTCTCTCGAGCAGTTATTCCCTTCACATGGACATGGAGAGGTTGAAGAAGAAGAACAGAAACACTTTGAGACACAACTCTCAAGGATTAAAACATTAAAGCTCGAATGCATCACCAATCTCAGGCATGTTTGGAGCAGAGATTCATCAAGTGTTCTTCAAAATCTCAACACACTTAAAGTAATTTGGTGTTCTGATTTGATCAGTTAATCGGCATCCACGACATCATTCAAGAATCTCACAACTTTGTTAGCATGGGGCTGCCATAAAATGGAGAACTTGGTTTCAATTGCAACAGTCCAAAGCCTGGTGCACATAAAAAGTATGACTGTAGGATATTGCCACAAGCTAAATGAAATAGTCAGAACCGAAGGAGATGGAACACAAGATCCGATCATTTTCAGTAGTTTGAGATATTTGAAACTTGTAGGTTTGATAGGACTAGCATGTCTCTGTTCTGGGAATTTCACCTTCGATTTCCCATATCTGGAGGAACTAATTGTAGAAAACTGCCCTAAATTGGAGATCTTCTCTAAGACTCCAAAAACACCACGGTTGGTGCAAGTACAGGGAGGGAAATTGTGGAAATTGGAAGGTGACCTCAATGCCACCATCAAAAGAATGTATACAGAAAAGGTATGAATTGACTCGTAAAAATTTATCAAACGCAAGCTTGAAGTCACCTATTCTGTTTTCTTTTGGTTCTTTTTCTCTGTAAATTTACTACCGTTTTCTTGCGTTATAATTAGCAATTAATTTCTTGGACTTGGCAGGTCGGATTTATTGGTTTGATGAATTTGAGTCTCTCCGAGTTTCCTGAACTGATTCAAAATTGGCATACTAAGAGTCTTCAAATCTTAGATTTTAGATACCTCCTTCGACTCGACATTTGTAATTGCAACAGCTTGGGATACCTGTTGACCCTATCTATGGTCAGAAGCCTTGTGCAACCTGATCATTTGGAGGTAAAACACAGCACAAGAATGGATGCAGTGATAATGGAAGAAGGATCAGAAAATAAGATCATACTCCCTTACTTGAGCCAGATTATTCTGGAGTCTTGTTCAGACTTGACAAGTTTCTATGTGGGTAGTTGCACATTCCAGTGCGAATTGTTAACAAGATTTGAAGTACTCAACTGTCCAAAAATGGCTACATTTGCTTCGACATTCCCTAGAAAGCTAGAGAAAGAGGACCCTCAAGCGTTTTTCAGCAGCAAGGTAATTAGTTTCTTAATGAAGACTTTTTGTTCTAAATTTAAGCAGCTTTAAAGTTTTGCATAAAGGTAAATGACAAATTACCCTCTCATTGCTGACAAAGTTAAAGATTAAAGGTGCTACAGTTCAAGAAATATATTTCTATTGACAAGAATTACTTTAAGCTAAACCAGGATTGTCATTATATCCGAATAAATCACCCCACAACATATATAATAGTTTCTTACCAAAAACTGCATTTCATTTTTATTTCAGCTTTAATTTTAGGGACTAATAATTGTCCTTATCCTCCTTTCACTGCCAATGGCATGATACATTCATTTATTACGTAGGTTGCTTTCCCAACTTGGAATGGGTGACTATCACCCACTTGAAAAACTTGGAGATCATATGACACGGCAAACTATATGCAGATTCTTTTTGCAGACTAAAATCATTAACAATCGAAAAGTGTGAAAGCTATAAGCTGTTTTTCCATTTGCTGATATAAAGGGAAGAATTTGGAATCCTTAGAGGAGTTAATTATAAATCAATGTGGCCCGCTAGAAGGGATATTTGAAATTGACAAGTTCAATGTCAAACAAACACATGTTGTAATTGACACCAAGTTGAGAAAATTGATTATTGATGATCCACAAAGATTGAAGCATGTGTGGAATAAGGATCCCCACGGAATACTCACTTTTCACAACTTGGAATCAATGGAGGTAAGTTGTTGTAGGAGTCTCAAAAATTTGTTTCCAACTTCAATAGGCAAAAGCCTTGTGCAACTCCAAAAGCTACATTTATGCTGGTGCGGGGTGAAGGAAATCGTCGCAATAGGAGAACAAGGAGCTGAAGTAATTATCAACTTTGAATTTCCTCGAGTATCAAGTCTCAAGCTTGAGGTGCTACCAAGACTCCAATATTTCTACCCAGGGAAGCACACAACAGCATGGCCAATGTTAAATGAGTTTTGTTGTTCCCATTTCAATCAAGTAAAGAGAACAGACGAGCATGGGCAACTTGAATTCCTTGTACGACCACCACTTTTCTCCATAGAAAAGGTAGGATCCATATTACAACTTTCCATTGTGAAATTAAAGCCTTTCCCTAAAATAAAATAATAAAAGAACACCTTACTACCAATTTATATCATGTAATAAGTAATCACTATACATGATTAATGATATTCTATTAAAAAAGTATTTTATAGAACAAATGGTATATTAAAAGTGTAGTCTACCCTATGAGTTTACTTAAATACCCTTAATAAAATAGTAAAAGAATTAATTTTATTAAAGGTATTTAAGTAAATTGATAGGAAAGACTGTACTTTTAATGTACAATCTATCTTGTAAAACTTGAATCTCATATTATATTGAAAAGAAATAATAACTTGCTTTAGCGAGACTTGAGTGGGTTTTTTTTCTTTTTTCTTTTTATGAAATTTTGTTTGGGTGACTGACTAAAGATAATTCCAGGTATTTCTTTTACTTTGTCATTGATGTTTTGGAATCTTCCTGTTAAATTTTAAGGTATTTTGCATGTGATACAACTAATGCATTGTTATGACTCATACCCACACCAACAGCATCCTAGGAGTATCCAAGTGTGGATCCAAACAGGAACTAAACTTCAAAATCAATGGAAATTTGCTTATATGCATTTAAGAAAAACATAGTTCAAAACTCTTTGATTATGGCTATCAACCCACTGTAAAGAAAATCTTGATATGTAGACTAAGAAAAACAAGCTGCTTAGAGAATCACGAAGGGAGAAAAGTGTTGGCTCTAGATTTTGAATTTTGTGGAGCAAACCAATTATTGTTATGGTTAGAAAATCTAATTAAAAACAAGAATTCTTTATAACTTGAAAGCATACTCTCATCTACTAGATAAGTGAACTAAATGTTAAGCTTTACAAGCCCAGTATGCAAAGAAGTATCAAGCTCAAAGATGGGTGTTTGGCAAAGCTTTCTTCTCCCACAAATTTAAAAATTTGTTAATTCAAAATGTGACTTTCAAAGTAGTTTCTAAATAAGTTTTGAAAAAATTTGAATGTTTAGTT